GTGATCCAGGACTTCAAAACAATAGGAAATCAACAATGGTTATCATAACGCCTTTTGTTGTCTTTAAAATAGCTGCAGATACCTTCAGATGTAGTAAAACTCAAACAAAACAGAACAGAATAGAGCTAATAAAAACAAAACAATAAATGCAATAAAGGACTTCAAAACAAGCCAATCGTAAATCCAAAATGGCTACCTAATATATCTTGTTATCTTTGAAATACCTACCCATGTCAACAGATATAATAAAATCAAACAAAACAAAACAGAATAAAACCAAACCTAACAAAACAATGAAAGTTATACAGGATTTTAAAACAAGATGATAGGCAATTAACAATGGCTACCACCTTCAGAAGGAGGGCCCCATAGATACTATACTGCGTACTGCTATCCTCTGAATAGATAATCAGACTACTGGCTTTAGACCTGCAAAGTCAGTGAAACACTAAACACTACAAGCATTAAGTTGTATTTAATCTCAATAGCTATCATTGCAGCCTGTGCTTCTTCAGATCAACTGTTCACCTAGGGCAAGGGAGGGGTGGGGGCCACTGTTGGCTCTTCTTGCTTCCCAGTCCATGCACCAGAAGGGGCTGGCATCTGTCTCTCCCCCTAGGGCCTAAGCATGGTGCCAATTTGTAGGGAGGACTTGCTTCTTGGTGACTTCTTGTTCTCTTCCCCTGCAGTCCATAAACGGTGCTGACTCACAGGGAAAGGCTGGTGTCTGGCTATTCCCCCAAGTGGCCTGCACATGTTACTGACTCCTAAAAATTTTTAATAAAAGTACATATACATATGTGTTTACATAAATACAAGGAAACACATGAAGCAAAGGCTTACAAAGATAGTTACAGTCACAATGGTAAGGATGCATCTGTGCAATTTGAATGTTTAAAAAAAGAATGCTTCTGTAGGCTGAATCTGGCCCACATGTTTCAAGGTTCCATCCCACCTTGTGGTTCTACTGGAAGGTGGTGGAACGAAGTTAGGTACTGGGGTTTATATCTGTGATAGGGATATTAGGATCCCAGCCCATCCTGGTATCTTTTTCTCTCGTTTCCGGGTCATTATGAGTTAAATAGGCTCCTCAACTCCTCGTTCCTTCCACAATGTACTGTGCCACCACAGACCCAAAGCACAGGGCCAAGTAAGTTCTCAAACACATGAAACCCTGAGCCAAAATAAACTTTTCCTCATTTTAAGATGATTATCCCAGGTGTTTTGTTACAGTGCTGGAAAGCTGAAAAATACAAATACCTTTATGAATTTCATATATAAAAATGAATGTAAAACCACTGGGAAAAATTAACAGAAATATAAAGAGGAGGAGGATAACCTATTCTGGGATGCTACAAAGGATAATTTCATGCATTCAGTTAAAAACTTATTGAGTAGATCCTGTGGTTCTGTTATCTGTCAACATCTTAGTGTATGCATTTCAGAACTTTCATGACCATTGAGTCTAATACAGATTGTAACCATTTATTGATATGGATTATTACATGAATAAGATGTATCATTATATAATTTACCTTTTTTTTTTTTTTTTTTTTTTTTTTTTTTTTTTTTTTTTTGTCTTTTTCATTTTTATCGGTACCAGGGATCGAACTCACGACTGCCTGCTTGCAAGGCAGGAGCTTATGCCGCTGAGCTAAATCCCCAGCCCCTATAATTTACCTTTGTTATTTAACATTTAGAATAATGTATTCAGCATATATTTATGGAGCACCAACTTTAGCTAACATAATATAGACTCTGAGAATAAAACAGATATAGTCTGTTTCTGTTATTATGTACTTTCTTTAGAAATGGCACATCAATCAAAAGTACTCCAGGTCTTTCTTTCTTTCTTTCTTTCTTTCTTTCTTTCTTTCTTTCTTTCAGACAGAGTCTTACTATGTAGCTCAGGCTGGCCTCGAACTCACTGTGTGGTAGTCCAGGTTGGCCTCAAACTCAAAGTGATACTCCTGCCTCAGCCTCCCAAGTGCTGGTATTACAGGCATGCACGAACATGCTTGGCTCCAGATCCTTCTTTCCTTGAACAAATAATTGGACGAGAAAAGCTAAAAACAGTGCCAAAAAGTCTATTTGAAAAGAAGGGTGAATGGGTGAGCAAGAAGCTAGTTCTGCACAATGAACTTGGGAAGAACAAGAGAGAAGGAAGATAAAAGCAAAAATAAAAATACACATTGCATCTAAGAAATAATAGCGTGGGTTACCACAGGAATTCATGATAGCAGGATCCGGTCTTCTTTTGTACCATGCATATATAACAGCAGCTAGTGAGACAGGCTCCACATACTGAGAGTTACCTGTCCTGAGAATTACTTGGCACTATCCCATAATCATTTGACGGGTCCTGTTCATTCCACCAGCCAGCTTTGCCACATCCTATCTCCTATATCACTTCTTTGCAAAACTTATAGTGAGAGACTGTCACTCAACCAATACTATCTTGATGAAATTCGTAATTACACAGTACATCAAGTTTAGACAACTGTAGATAGTTCTTTGAAATACCCAGGTGTGAAAACAAACGGTAGCTATGATGGCAAAACACCAAGGTATGTTTAACATTAAAACAAATGAGCTATCAGTAGGAAGTTAAAACTATAAGAGCAAGAGGAGGGGACACTGAACTTTAAAGTTTCTTGAGAAGAAGGAAACAGAACACAAGTATAAGGGTTGACTTCGGCGGAAAGGGAGTTGCCTCAACTGAAAGAGAAGCAAAAGAAGAGCTTAGGTTTAGAAAAGTTTGAAGTGGACCTGCAAAAATACAGGGCAATGTCATCTGCCTAGAGCAAAGACACATGTGATCGATATAATAAGTTTCTCTAATCATAACAGGAAAAATGCACTAGTGAAACACCTACTTAGAGGGTGACTAAAGGTAAATTCTTAGGTCTGAAGAGGGTAGAAGTTTTAAGTAGATTTGGGAAAGCAAATGGAATAGAGAAGGCCAGGCTTAGTTAACAGCCCGTAGAATGTGTCTTCTGGGGCGGATTTTTTTAGCTCCTTGATTGCGGGCAAGAAAAATGCAAGGGAGTAGGTATTAAAAGCAGGAGGTAAAGTGCTATAGTGAACTAAATAAAAAAAAAAAAAAAGGAGGAATGTTTTCCAACTGGGAGAAAGAAAGCTTTATAAGAGAAACAGATCTGAGAAAAGGCAGTTGCTAAATGAAGAAAATGACCTGAGAGAAGGGGAAAAACAGGTGTGCAGGACTTAAAGATTAAACCATGGTAGCAATAAATTCCTGGTCCTGGAGTAGGGATGCCCTGTTGGCTTCTAAAACAAACATGATTGCAGCTGATTATCTGAATATGTAAGTGTGGTTTCATATTTGTTTTTGTTTTTTAGAATTGACAACTATCAGGCCTCCCAGTTATTTTTAGTTGCTGAAAAGACTTGAGGGAAAGACAAAATATTCTTCATGCTTTAGAAGGATCTAGAGAGCAACAGGAAAGAAAAATTTCTCTCTTATTTGTGGCAGTTATTAGTTGTTGTATGTCCTTTCCTGGGTCTATTTTGTAGTTTCTCTTAGTTATTGAGTTTATTCCCTTATTAAGATCTTCTAATCTACATTAAGGGTCTTAATATTTTTTATAGAAATTGACCTCAAGGAACTGAGATACAGGCAAAAGAAAACTTGAAACCAACTTTTAGGTGGGCTGTTTGTTATCCAGCCACCCTAATTCTTTGAGAAACACTGTTTAACACTTGGCACCTATTAAATAATTTACACTGAGGTAATACCTAATTTAGAGATTCCTTGTCACATGTCTTTTCTACCATGAACGATGGGAAGGAACCTCGGTATGAATAGTATTGTCATAACAGTGTATCAACATGTGATCAATATACATAAGCTTCTCTAATCACAATAGGAAAAATGCAGTAATGAAACACCTACTTAGAGGGTGACCAAAGCGAGGAAGAGACATTGAATTTAAAAAAAGCCTTCCTTCTTTAGACCAGGCTCTTGTCTCTTGACTGACAGTACTTAAGACAAATGAGCCATTTTTACACATTTAAAAAATTTAGTATTTCCTCTTTTTCTGAAGAGGGCAAGGCATTGCATTTTTTTTTTGAATGAACATATTCAAAAATTACTTATGCAGGGGTTAATCACTAAGAGGGTGAGAAGGTTGTAAAATATTGGCTCTTTACTAGGGGACTGTTGGCTCTTTGCTTCCTGTCATTTTCAAGAGGGGAACATGAATCTCTTACACTGTTGTCAAATAAGAAGGAAAAAAGGATTTTTCTTCCCTTTCAAAATCAAAGTTTAATAAGGCATCATTAATCCCAATCCAGTGGGCAATGATTTTTAAAATTTTTAATTATTAAAAATTTTTTTTTTGCATAACAGTAAGTCTGCATGGATTGTTCTGAGTTTCCATTAAAAATCTGAAATTCTCAGTGGGGCTGGGCAGGTGGAGATGTCATATCAGATTGAGGTAATCGCAATTCAATCTCTCACATTCAGATTTGCTTCCTGGGCTCTGACTCAGTCTTGCTGCTCCTTTTTCCTAGCTCCCCGCTGTCCTCCTTGGATGAGGTAAAACTCTTACCCCCCTGAATTATTAGTGTTGGCGGCTTCTGCAGCAGTAATGTGGTTCCGAGTCCGCATTTCTCAACGGTCGCCTTTTAGGCCTTATTCAGAACATGGTACAGTCATACTTATCACATCTCTGAGGCCCATGAAACTCTCAGTACTACAGAAGCCGGCATCTGTGCCTCACCCAGCTCTCACTTTGGAGAAACAAAGCAAGGAACGTCACCGGGACGAAAACCCACCCCGCCCCCAGCCCATCGCCTGGGCGCATGCGCAGAACAGGAGGTGGCTGTTCCGGAATCGCGGGCATTCGCATAACAGTCAAGGTCTCGGAAAGACTGAGTTCCTCGTTGCTCAGTGGAAATCCCTGCCAAGGGCTGATTTACATTAGCTCTTAATTAGAAAAAAGGGAAATAACCGCTTCGTCCCTAGCGCGTTTCCGTTTCAAACCACCCACTTCCGGTTTCCTGCCGGTTCCGGCCCCCTGCCGGTTCCGGCCCCGCCCATCACTTCCGGCCTCTGAGGTTCCGCTGCGGTCGGTTTCTGCGTCCGCTGCAGCTGGTTCCGCCACGCTCCAGGTGAGGGGATGCGGCTCAGCCTGGCGCGGTGCCCTTGGAGATGCGGCGGGGCCGGCGGTCGCGACTCTGTGGCCCGCGCCGTTTAGCCCGTCCCGCGGCCGTCCGTGACGGGATGGGCGCCGTGACTGTCAGACCTGCGTCCAGGCCCCGGCCCCGGCCCCGGCCCTGGCGGTGGGCGCTGGGTCCCGCAGCCTTCCCGCCCTGCCTTCGGTCCCATTCCGAAGGCCGACCGCGCTCCTCTCTGTTTCGGGTCCCCAGCTTCACTTCTCCCTCGTCTGGCGTGTGTCTGTCTCCTCCCTCCCCCGGTTGAAGACTTACCCGTCTTCTTGGTACTGGCCTCTAGAGACTGCCCCTTACCGGCCTCTTTGTGCCGCGCTCTCTGCACCATCTCGCAGTGGTTAATGTGCTGTTGACCTGGCAAGCAATGGACGATACTTGACTGTTACCTTACGTTACACTCGTCGAAAAGTTATCCCCGTCCTTTCAGTGCCAAAAGTCATGTTTGCTGCTGTGCTTCCAACTGTCGCCTTTGCTGCTCTTTGATTTTGCTTTCTTGGCAAGCTGTTTAACTTCTTTTTCAGGTTTCTGGTCGGTATAAAGAGGCCAGTAGTCAATTCAGGATTGTGAAGAGTAAATGAGGTGATTTAGTTAAACTGTGTGGCTTGTAGCTCTGTTACCACCACCATCATATAGCTCTTTCTTTATATAAAGTGCTGTCATCATATCGATTGCTTGAGAAGACTGAGCCCCAGAGTTAGGAATTCACTAGGCAAAGCCAACGCATGTGTTAAGCCGTTATTTTTTGGGTTTGGGAACCTCGTGCCCCCTCACCCCATAATTTTTCATGCATTTATATCGTGATGCCCCATTAGTGCGCATGATCCCACTCTGCTTGTCTTCCTTACTCTCGCCCCCTTTTTCATTTGTGGTATTAGGGCCTAAGAAAGTAAGTGTAAGTATGTATGTGCATATGAAACATGAGTAAATATAAATATGATTGTATTCATATAAGTCAAGGTGAATTTATGATACTCTTTTTTTTAGTGTCTATGTTAAAAGACTTACTTTCAAATTATTTTTGCATACTGAGACTAAAATTTACTTTCCCAGTTAGTATTGGGTGCAATCATTGCATGACTAGTGCAATCAAATATTTCACCAAATAATTGAAAACACTTGGGAAGACCACTACTGGTAAAGATTAGCAAACTCAGAAATCTTTTTTTTTTTTTTTTGGTACCAGGGATCAAACACGACCTTACGCTTTCCAGCTTTCCAGTCAGGTGCTTATGCCGCTGACCTAAGTCCCTGGCCTGTGAAATCTAATCTGTGGTGAAATGAGTTTATGAAACGTAGAAAGCTTTATGGGGAATAAACTCATTTATCAACTTAATTGTTGATAAGAAAACAGTTACTGTGTAAAATTTGTATGCTTAGAACTGTGCGGATGGGTTTTGTATTTCTTGAAATTTTGTTGCCTTTACTCCTGTATTTCCAATTTAAGAGAAAAGACAAAATTATGGTATGGGAGTTGTAGGGTATGTTGAGATTTGTTCAGAAGCCCTGTTTACACGCTATGTACCCACGAGCAGGTTATGTCTCTTCTCAGATATTGTTTCTTTAAAGAAGGTACACTTTATCAGACAACCTTATTAAATGAGATTGTGTAACTTTGGCCATTTCACAAAATATGAAACATAACAGCTTTTCCCACATTTAGCATGGTGCCTGGAATATAGTAAACATTCAGATTGAAATTTATTACCTACCTACTGTAATATTACCTTACCATAATATTACACAGTATGACTTCTAAACATTAACAAATTTAGTCCTCATAGGAACCCTGAGAAGTAGGTATCATCCTTATATTTCAGGTGATGAAATCTAGGGACTAAGAGACAAGTTCCCAGGTCAAACAACTACTAAGTGGAAAGGCTGGAATCTGAACCAGACGGTTTGACTCTAAAGGCTGTGTTACTCCTAATAATTACAACACACTACCTGTCAAACATTAAATGAAAGAAGATACTCTGTCATGGTGGAATTTGCCTGTAATCCTGACCAAGCAAAACGGGGAAAGGTAGCCAATTACTGTACCTTTCCTGTTTCCTCAGGGAGACTATGATAGAGTATTAGGAAGTAGTAAGTGTAAGCTAAAAATTGGGATGGTGGGGTAATTTTAACTTTTAGTGTCAGTAACTTAGTTAAATACTAAGTAAATACTTAGTTAAATACTAAGTAAATACTAAGCACTTCTGTAAGGAGAAACATGTGTTTGTATACCATCAAATTATAAAGTAGAACTCAAACTCCACCTGCTTCTGAAACTTAAAGTTACAAGTTTGTCTTTGATCCATTGGTTTTAACTTGTTCCTTTATATATGCTTACTGTTCTAGGTATTTCTTCCTGAAGGAAAACTGCCTCTTCATATGCTTCAAAAATGGCTCTCCCAATCATTGTAAAATGGGGTGGACAGGAATATTCAGTGACCACACTTTCAGAGGAAGATACTGTGCTCGATCTCAAACAGTTTCTCAAGACTCTCACTGGAGTGCTGCCAGAACGCCAGAAATTACTTGGGCTCAAAGTGAAAGGTAATTCTCTCCCTGCTGAACATCTTTTGCATTGATATTTATGAGTTTTTATATTTGCTATCACTTTTCTTTAAATATCCCCCCCCCCCCGGTCTTTTTGCGATGTCTTTGCTAGGAATTTTTCTAAAATCGGTTTAGTGGTAAAAATGTTAATGTGCAAGTTTACTTGAGAATACCACCAGTAAGATTATTTTTTATTCCTGACAGTCAGTGTTTGCTTCTTAAAGCTTCAGCATAGAAATGTCAGGTGAAATGTCATTTATTTTCTAGCATTGCATTTTAGCACAGTGTTTCTATTACAGCTTGGACCCTGTACTCTCCACGAATAGTCTGTCCTGTTTCAAAAGTAAAAGTGATATTTAACATTTGTTCATATCCAGCTAAAAGAGATTTTTGTGTTGTTTACCATTTTGGCTTACCACTGAAGGGTTTTGAGTAACTGTAAGTCTTAGTTTATTTTAGGTGATCTGCAAGGCTTCCTGACAAAGAATTGTCTTTGTCTTGAACTGTAAAATAAAACATGAATTTATGTTTAGTTAGTTGAATAAAAGTGTTGTAGGATAGAATGAGAGAAAACAACACTTGTATTAGTTGTGACTAATTCAGCAATAATAGTTGGTTAATGTAAGAAAACAAAACAACAATAAAACCCCACAACTGCTGTGGCAATTGCACCAAACCTGTTAATGTTAGGGTTTTGTATAATGGAATAGTGAAACTAGCACCGGACTTTAGTGAGAAAACAGTCATTTGCTTGTATTGTAGGCAAACCTGCAGAAAATGATGTTAAGCTTGGAGCTCTCAAACTGAAACCAAATACTAAAATCATGATGATGGGAACTCGTGAGGAGAGCTTGGTAAATGTTTACTTTTGTTACCATTTGTCCTTTTGAAAATACTATGGTTTATAATTTTAATTGTGGTAAAATTATGAGTCTCTATGGTCAATGAAAAATAAAGCTGTACGTTGAGTATGGTATTAACCCAGCAGGAAATAAGAGCTGGGGAACTTTTTAGTATGTAGTTAATTATAAGTGTAGTAGTAACCCAAATGGTCAAACTGAACATGGTAAATCTGTCCAGGGGACACGTATAGTGAGTTATTAATTATGGAAATTTTCCCATAGTGTGTATTGAAAGGTTCTTAAACTCCAATTGTATTTCATTTGATTTTTTTTTTTTTAATGCTGTGAATATGTTTGTTATGTTAAAGGTAGTATAGTAAAACTCTTTTCTGTCTTAATAGGAAGATGTCTTAGGTCCACCCCCTGATAACGATGATGTTGTTAATGACTTTGATATTGAAGATGAAGTAGTTGAAGTAGAGAACAGGTAAGCGCCTTTTCTTTTAGAAGGAGTTGTCACGTGGGAGAATGAGTGCTTCATTTGATTTCATCTTTTCCATTAGGGAAGAAAATCTGTTGAAAATTTCTCGCAGAGTCAAAGAGTATAAAGTGGAAATACTGAATCCTCCCAGGGAAGGCAAAAAGCTGTTGGTACTAGACGTTGATTATACATTGTTTGGTAAGTCAGTTAATAATGCTTTTCATCTTCTGTTTCTCACAACTTTTGTTTTTCTTTTGTTTGTTTTTTTCCAGCAACTCAGGGTTCACATGAAATATTTGAAAGTTTTTCTTATTATTACAAAAGTAAATCATTCACTGTAGGAAATACTGATGAAAAAAGTCATTTGTAATTTCAAGACCCAAAGATGACCACTCTTAATATTTTGGTGTGTATCTTCTAGTGTGTATGTATGTATTGCTTTTTCTTTTCTTTTACTTAATTATAGATAGAATATCATCTCAATCATTAAATATTGTTTGTTGTGAATATATATGCATATCATACAGTGTTCTTTATTGATGCATCATAATTTAATGTTTCTGATTAACACTTACCTTTTTATGAAGAATATTTAAAAAGTCATTTTGAATATTTTATCCTTTGTTTCTGCTTAATTAAATTCAGGCGGTTTTTTGAATTTGAAATTTATCATGTGCATAGGAAAAGAAAGATGTTATTTCATCCTCTGTTATTGGAAAGAAGTATTTACTGGTACTGCAGTTTATTTTTCTCTATTCCTAGACTTTAAATGTATTTCATAACTTATGTATTTATTTTTTAATATTTAGTAAGTAAATTAGTCGTGTCTTTTTAGTTGAATGTGATTATATCTGCAAAGTAATGACTAAATATCATTTTCACAAATAATACCTGAACTTTAGAGAGTAATGAGAAAAAAAATTATAACTCTTATAAGCCAGATTTCTCAGTTTTGCTCTTTGTGCTTTGATCAGTAAAAATTGGAGCTCAAAGATACTAAATTTTGTTTTGAAAGATGTATCTGTCAGCCAGTCTAATTCAACTTGAAACAGTATGCGATTGAATGTTTATGTTACATTTAATAATTACTACTTTTTATAATAATTTCAGTGTCAACTTGTCCACAGTAACAAACTAATAATTATGTCCGATCAATTTTGTTTTAGACCATAGATCTTGTGCAGAGACTGGGGTAGAATTAATGCGGCCATATCTTCATGAATTTCTAACATCTGCATATGAAGATTATGACATTGTTATTTGGTGTAAGCTATATGTATTTTTTGGATTTCTGTGGAAATAAGGTTGTTCCTTATATTATTCTGCTGTATAAAACATGAGTTAAAAAGAACTATTTAAATATAGAAGTTTTCTTTTTTAAAGGAAATTCATAAAATTAAGCATTTTTACTTTTTTGCATTTATATAAACATACTATATTTGTTACATAAAATTGAAGCAGTTTTAGTATAGGGCAAAACTAGATAATGGTGTCGGAATGGAAATGAACTTATTTCCTTGATGTCCTGACCTAGAGTAGAAATTTTTCTGATCTTTACTGTGGAATCCTTGGTACCTTAGGGTATTACTGTTTTCTTTCTTGCTTTACTCCAGTTTCAACTTGGAGAAAGATAAGTTTTTTAAACCATGGTGATATAACTCTACAGAAATAAAAGGATATATAAGTTACATAAGGAAAATTGATATACAGACTGATGTAGTGTTATTCCTTTGTGCTCTGTGTGTCACTCTAAAAGGTACAAGTCGATGATAAGATAAAGCTTGTTCTCTAAAATGTAAATCTATGATGTTACTAAGGGCGCTGTTTACTTTAGTTGATATTTTTGCCGAAAGTTTCTTGAAAAATGAAGCAGTGCACTGATTTATATTCCGTATGTGTATGAACATTTAAAGTTACTTTTTGGCAATATTGTGAGCAGAGAGGAGTTCTCATTGTGAGTTAAATAAAAATGCCATCCATTAAAAGTGCTATACTGTATTTAGTTGAATGAAGTTTTTGATGAGAAGCCTGATAGTAGGTTATAGCCTGGACATTTACTTTGTAATTATCCTTAAGAATATTTTCATTGTCCAGTGATAATAGAAGTTCACAGCTGTTAAGATTAAAAGCATGTTAAGAATTGATAATTTGAACTAGCTGAGCATTGTGGTGCACACCTGTAATCCCAGCACTTGAGAGGCCAAGGCAAGAGGATTGCCATGAGTTCAAGAGCAGCCGGGGCTACATAGTGGTTCAAACCTGAACTACAAAGCAAGACCTTGTCTCGAAAAATACTGATACTTTTTCTGATTTAATATTGTAAGGGGAAAGAGATCTCTGCTGAGCAGATTTTTATTCTACAACTGACAATCTGAGAGGACATTTGAGCAAATTTATCTTAAAACTAGTTTACCTTAAGTTTAAAGAACTTTTATGTACTTAAGGGTTTTTTTGTAAATTATATTTTGTGGCAGTGTGTTGATAAGGGTACTTCACTTTGGAACTGAATAAACTAGGCTTTTAATTCTGGCTGTCTTTACTGTGTGACGCTGACAGGCCACTTCATCTCCCAGAACCCTAGTCTCCTTGCTTAAAAACAATGATAAACCCAAAATATAAGTAAAGATGAAAATAAAAGATAGTAGGGAACATGAGGTAGACTTCGTGGAGATGGAAGGGAATCTGGGAAGATAGGACGGTGGGAGGAAGGAGAAATAAAGATGATGGCGATGCAGTGTGCACAGTTCCCGAGATGCATGTGGTGATGTCCATCAGATGGACCAGCAACTGACAGCAATAATCAGTATTGCAGCCTGTTCCATGTTTTTTCTTTCTTTTTTTCTTTTTGAGACAAGGTCTCTCTATGAGTTCAGGCTGGCCTTGAGCTCACTTTGTAGCTAGGCTGGCCTTGAACTTGCATCAAACTTCCTGCCTCAGCCTCCCAAGTGCTTGGAAGCCTGTTCCATGTTTGACAACTAGTAATTATCTAATCATGAGAAATTGCTAGCTTTGAATTTCTTTTCCATCTGGGAATTGTGGACACAGAATACTAATTTTTCTTTAAAAAAAAATCCCTGTTTTATACATTCTTTCATTGTAGATAATATATTCTCTAAAATTTTAGTTCAACTGAGCAGCTTTGCATGTTAAGGTAATTCTTTTGCTTCTGTGTATGTGCTGAATTTTTTTTGTCTTTAGGGCTCAGATTACTTTCATCTTTACATATATTGACACATAAATATAGCTAACTGTGTTAAACTAATTTTTCTCTCTTCTTAAACATTTTTCTTGGTAATGTCTATATTGTTTAGTCCTGTAACCTGGACAGGAGAGCACATAGAGATGGTTTGTAATTTAGTATTAACAGTGCCAAAATTGGCCAGTGTCTGACAGCGAGCAGATATGCAACATAGGTATATACTTTATAAATTGGTCTGTCCTTCTTTCTTTTTCTTTTTTTTGGGGGGGGGAATCAAACTCAAAGCCTTGCATTTGCCAGGCAGGTGCTGTGCCACTGGGTTATATCCTTGACTTTCTTTGTTATAAGCTGCTGCACTCAGCACTGTTTACTAAACGTGAGAAGTGCAGATTTTCATTGGACCTAGCTAATCTTCAGCATAAATTTTTGACACATAACCTTAATGTGTTCATATTGACACACACACACGCACATTTCCTGGAATTAGGGACGTGGAAGAATGTTAAAATCCAGGCATTCCAAACTTAAGCTGGAATTGGGAATTTGGGTCTTACCAATTTTCTAGGTTCGGAGTTCTTTTGAGTGCTTGTTAACTGTGTTTCACAGGTAAAAGTTGTTTAAGCTTTATTTCCAGTAGAGAAAGTTTATTTTTTGATAACTACTTAAAAGGAAATTACCATATGTATACTAGGACTATTATCTGTGATATTAGGGACTATTATTTGTACTCATCTTTGAAAATTCATGTATATTGATTTTTTAAGTGAAATTCAAACTTGTTTTGTATTTTCCTCATGTTTTAGCTGCAACAAATATGAAGTGGATTGAAGCTAAAATGAAAGTAAGTGTTAGAAACAGCTGTTTTAAAATGTTTTGAAACTGTCTTTTTAAAAGTTCTGACACTAAACTAATTTCATTCTTACTGGCAGATATTTAGTAGATAAATGAATGCAACTATCAGGGGTAGTAATGTACTGAATGCCTAAGCTATTTTCAAGGAAAACTTTCCCTTTTTTTTTCCTCCCCATTTTACAGTAAGTTTTTTGTTGTTGTTTCTGGTTTGTTTTCCTCAGACTACCATTTGTTGATTTAACTAAATGAAATGAAAGGACTTGGTAGTGGTTTAGTAAAATGAATGGCCAGTGGTGTAGAAAGTTGGGATTTGGGCAAATTGCAGCTGAAATATTAAATCTTGAATTTTCCCTAATACTATATTTTAATCTCATGAACACTTATGTTTATAGGAATTGGGAGTGAGCACAAATGCAAATTATAAGATTACCTTCATGTTGGACAGTGCTGCTATGATAACAGTGCATACCCCAAGGAGAGGACTGATAGATGTAAGAATTTGTTTTACTTTTATTTAAAGATGTGTATTTTCTGGTGCACTTTTTGTGTTTATAGTGATGAAATAAATCACGGAGTTTAGAAATTCATCTGAGTGGGTAGTAAAGTGACAGTTTTGACATCGAAAATGAAATTGTCATATAATTTGACATAGAAAAATGAATTTGAGTTTAAACGATTTGAATTTTAATGAAGTAGGACTGTCAAGAAGGCACAGTGGTGAGGGGTAATTGTCTTGTGATGATGACAGCACAGTTTTGTCTGACAGAGCAGGTGACAAAAATACTGAGTATCGTCAAGGAAGACAGTAGAAACAACCCAAAACATACTCACTTTGCCCTCTGAGAAAATGCTCATAAAAGCAGGTACTTCCTAATACACTGGGGGTGACATATGTGTAGCTGTGTAGCCCTAGAGAACAGAAACCAGAAGCATCAGAGAAAAGGACTGGGCTAATAAGATGGGGAGTATTCACTTTGTTTACTCCCCAAGTAACTACTGGCAGGATTGAACAGCAGCTATCTGCGCAGCCCAGCGGGGCACTGCTGGTTAAGATAAAGAGATGAAGTAAACGTAGTCCATGCCTTTTGGAGGCAGGCAGGCAGGAACTGTGGAGATCTTAGCACACTAGAAAGGCTTGGGTAAGACATTTTCTTCTCAAAATAGTTAAAGTACCAAGAGAGCCAGGTACATTTCCCCTCACTGTGCTGTTCTAGATTTGTAAATAGACGCGATGTAACTCTCAGGCTCTGAAAGGGCATGCGATAGCCCAGGAAGTTGTATGACTGCTTTGCAGACATCAAACAATTGCTTTAGATCCTTTTAAAATGAAATAGAATTCTATAGTTATCCCAGAATTTTCATGTTAAAATTATGGAAAGTCTTAGAATGTGTTTAGTTCCATTACACATGAACAGGCTTTTCAGACATACAGACATTGCAAATTGACACCCTGCTTTGAATCTGTGTTGTCCATGATCAGCTCACGTAGGCATCATCGTCTTAGAGGAATAGAACTGTGACTTTGTTCTACCATTCAGTAGTAGCCTTGCTTTTGAGAAAGTATTAGCCATTGATAAGTCTGGATTTAAACCTAAACTTTTGCTCTAAGGTAAAGCCTCTTGGTGTTATTTGGGGAAAGTTTTCCGAGTTTTACAGCAAGAAAAATACCATTATGTTTGATGACATAGGAAGAAATTTTCTAATGAACCCACAGAATGGACTAAAGGTAAGATATACTTTTTATATGCTTGTGTAATCTGGACTTTATAGTAGAACTTTTAGCACTATTGAGTTTCATAAAATTTTTTTTTTACACTTTTTTTTTTCTTTTTTCTTTTTATCGGTATCGGGGATCAAACTCACGACCGCCTGCTTGCAAGGCAGGCACATATGCCGCTGAGCTAAATCCCCAGTCCCTGAGTTTCATAAATTTGTAAAAATGCGGTCAAGTGCCTTTGTGTAATTCTGTTTTCAGTCATTGATCACATCTGAAAGTGTTTCCATAAGATTATATAGAAACTGAAAAAATTTTCTCTTAATATTTTCACTGTCTTGTCTTTGTTTAGATGAAAACTTGGCATTGTGTTCCAGTTTCCTACAGTATTCAGTATAGTAACATGCTGTAAGTTTTGTAGCCTAGGAGCAACAGACTATACAGCCCTCACCTCCTATGTACTTGGCATGCAGTAGGCTGTCACATCTAAGTTTGTGTTAGGGAGCGCTGTGCTCTGTGATCTTCATACAGCAATGGAATTGCCTTAAGAGCAAGTTTCCTTGTTACTAAGTGACACATGCTGTAGGTAAGAAGGTTTACATGTGAAAATGAGCAATATGCCTTCTGCATAGAAATCTTAGCCAACACTTCCAAGTGTTCCATTTTATTGTCTGTCTGTCTATTTTGGTGGAGACAGGGTCTTGCTAGGTAGTTCAGGGTGGCCTTGAACTCACTCTGTAGTCCAGGCTGACTTCCAAATCAGTGTTCTTCCTGCCTGCTTGCTGAAATTACAGGTCTATACCACCACATGTGGCTCCAAGGGTTTTATTTTTAGTTAGATTTGTGGGAGCACCCTAGGCTTACTGAGGTTTAGTAGCAGAAGTGAAATTATTAGATGTTTTACTAGGAATACAGCTGGATAGCTGGCACTAATGGTGTTGTCCTTTTCAAACTAAGGTTTTCAAAATTCATGTGGCCAGCTGCAGATTTTAGAACTATAAAGTGTCAGGGTTAGAAGGAACCAATCATCTTGTCTGCTTTCTAAACTTTAGAAACAGCCTGAGGACGAGAAAATTCATGACTTGCCCAAGATCATGTGTGGGAGGGGCTGGTTCCTGGTTCAGTGATGATCGTGGCATGCAGTCACCCGAAACTTGTGTGATATGACAGTGACATTCTAAACCTGACAGCAGCATAAAATTGGGAAGAGATAACTTGAAAACTAAAAATTTCTGGTACTCATGGTTGCTTATATGTTGGCAGAATACAAAAGTGGAAAACTGTTTCTCTGTCATGGTACTGGTGCAGATAGAGTCTTCATTTGAAGTAGAAATCCTAGTGCTAAGATATTTTAGTTTTAGTTCTGAACTTTTCTGTCAGCAACGTTCTTGGGTAGTTTTTAAAAAAGGAGAGAAAAACTTGAAGGAAGTACGTTTTGAGGCCTTCCTTACAGATGGTTGATTTGGTCTTTACTGTAGAGTGAGTATAGTTTAAGGACAGAATGCCAATCTAGGTCCTGATTTGCTACAAATATAAAAGTTGTTGACTTAAAAGAAAAGTGCTCCGTTAGCCTAAGGAAATGACTTCTGTTGGAGGCTTCCGGAGAAGTGGCTTTTCTGTGTGAAATTCACCAGGTTCTGGGTACAGAAATGTACACTGGAATCTTGACAAGAGATTTGATAATTTCTATTGTCTGATTTCTGTGAAACTCATGGTTATTACCTGTTCTTACAAGGAAGTGCAACAATAATGTTTAAAAAGTGATTTTTGAAGGGACTTTCAGCTTTTAAAAAAAGACTGGGTTTTTTTGTGTGTTTAAAAGACGGTGTTTTCCAGTCATATTTGGACTCTATTCATCTCTTAATGCAGAGAGAAATGATGTTATACATTTCTAATTCTTTGTGTTAACCTTATAGCAGGTTAAAAAAAAAAAAACTGGGCTACTTAGATTCACTGAAAGAAGGAATTCCTAAAAATATATAGTCCACACTCTCAAAATCCCTCAAGAAGTGTTTTTAAGAAACGCAGGTGATCTCATGCATGTCTCCTTTTGAGAACCTCTTTTAAGGTCATTATTGATGATCTGTCCTCATGGGCATCGAAGTTCTGAAGTTAAGGAATTTTCTTAAATACTGTGTTTTGTTATCACAGTTTTATTATGTACTTAGTAGAAACTTCAAAAAGATTCATGCAGATCTAGATCTATTTAGCTAAAAATAAAGATTTTTTTAAATAGTTAACTTTAGTATCATAGGCCTGCCATCCTAAGGCTTGAGCTGTGTTATAAGGCATTGTGAATATGAATATAAAAATGAACTAAAAATGAGTTTGTTGGTCATGGACAAAGCAACTGATATGAAAACTTTTTTCTTTTTTTTTTTTTAAAGGAAAATGTAAAAGGAAATGATGATACAAGAGAATTCAGCTAATCTAGACATTGTTAAGTTTCTAAATAATGTTTCTTTGACTTGAAACGAATTGTTTATACATGTTGCGTGCCCTGCTGGTTAGCAGTGAGACAGAGAGATTGTGAAAATGTTACACTATGCAGTCCTTATGCCAGAACAAATGGTCAGGTGAATAATACATGTTTTTTGCCCTTAATTACTTTATCTTGTCTGAAACAGAATCATTGGAATAATTCAGTTTTGTTGTCTTAATAGTGCTTAAGACCAAATCTTTAGCACATAAAATTAACTTACGGCTTTGGGTTGAAAATCTTTTTAATAGCTATTGACTTTCTGTTTCAGTTTTAAATTCCTTTCTGCTCTTTAAGCATGAGAACTTTTTGATGTATTACATCCTAATAGATTAAAAGTTAACGCATTGCTTTTATATTCTTTTGAGGTTGAGTGAAGGAATATTTTAATGTATTCCTGTGTTACCCAGGAACACACAGAGGCTGCCTTTCCTATATCATCACACCACGTCCCGCTCACTCTCAGCCTCGACTTAAGCAGCCTCAACTTATGGAACCCCATAGTCACTGCTGCTGCTGAGAAATAGCATTGCCTGTAATGTTTTTCCTCAGTAAAGTCTCCCACAATCCTTGGGTCCTTTGCTGGCTCTGCTCTGTGTCCCCTAGACAGCTGGGGATCAGCTGGCAGCTGTGGAGCTTTCTGTACCTAGCTGTTCAGTGAGAGCAGAACATGTGGGAAATGTTTCTGTCCACTTAAGGGTGGTAGTCTGTTTTTCTAGTGACTTAAGAAAAATATGTTTAAAACCTCTATTCTTGATAAATACAATCATGGATTTGTTTAGCTTATTATTCTTTAGTAAGTGACAATGATTAAATGTTACTTGTTTTTTGATGTTTTGTGGTGTCAGGGTCCAACCCAGGCCTTTGAGCATCCTAAGCAAGTGCTAGGATGAGCTACATCCTTAGCATCATTGTGTACAGTAACTGCTTTTTTCCATGTAGAATAGGGATAAATTAGAACTTTAAATTATAGTTTATACATTTCTTCTATCTGGTGAACTTTAGGAGAATTGTTATGTTTTAAGACAGGCTCTCACTTGCTTTGTAACCCAGGCTGGTCTCCCAACTCACAGTGCTGCTGCCTCGGCCTCCTGAGTACTTGGAGTAGAAGCATGCACCACCACACCCAGAGAGTGACTGTTGTTTTGTTTTTTTTACAGTGCTAAGGCTTGACCCAAGGGTCTGCCACTAAGCTACATGCCCAACCCTCTGTGTGTGTGTGTGTGTGTGTGTGTGTGTGTGTGTGTGTGTGTGTGTGTTAAAGAAATGAAACTCAAAAGAAAAAAAATATGTAAATCAAAGTGGAAATTAGATAAGTAGGAAGTAGGGAAAAATGCAAATAAATCCCTAAATTATCAATTCCATTGTTTCAGAAGTATTTTAAGATATATGTTGTTTCATTTATATGACTAGTTTCTCTTCATGGAGAAGAAAGTTTTGTCCTTTTGTTTCTTATTTGTAAGAGTTTTTGTCTGTGACTTGCATTCTAGTAACATTTTGACCATTCTTTTAAGATCATGATATAAATACAGTGTGCTACCTATTAGTTATTTTGTTGAGAAATTTGTTTTCTTAAGAGTGCTTTTATATTTTTTATTAATATCTACTTGTATTACATTAAAATAAGGAAATTTTTAAAAAGTTTACAAGTGAAAAATTTGAATATACAGAACTACATATTATATAATGAATCCTGTGGATGTACTGTCTAAGGGGTTTATAAATTCATATAACTTCGTTTGCTCTATACTTTCTGCCTCTTTAATATTTGGAAGCAAATCCCAGACATACCATTTCATATAAAATTAAAGATTTTGAAAGACTATCTTAAATTGTATGAAGATATTTGTGCTGATCTCTTTAAAAGGAAAGCAGCACTCTTTATTGGGGTAGTAACATAAAATTTGCTGCTCAACAAACTGTGTAAAGATAACTTGTATATAACTGCCACCCACATCAAGATTCATATAATCCTATGTTTTGACTTTTCTACTGTCCTGACATATAGTTTGAAGTAATGCTTCTTAAAAGAATACCTTTTGTTACAAAATAACTGTTGTAGTGGGGGGTGTGGTGTGAGGAGAACAGTTAGAATCAGGACACAGAATTTATAATATTATTTTATGATGGCCATCCAGAGTTAACACAAAAAAGTACAGAAAATCTGTCCACAACACTAAAGACACAGAATATTCAGCCAAGGGCCTAGATCCCACAGCAATGTCCTGCATGAGTCCAGGTGAAATCCTAGAACCTGTAACAATGCCTCCCACATGTCACCTGGAGGGCTAGAGCCCATGAGAAGGACTCACACCAGTCTGTTTACAAATCCATGATGGGAAGGCCCAGAGGTCAGCAGGGGAAGCTAGAAAGTCTGTACCACTGGGGTGAAAGAGTTGTGCTTGCTGGTAGGTTGCAGGTTCTACACTGGAGCTGAGAAGTCACGCTCAAAACGAAGACCAGGGCTGTCCTGAAAAGCACCATAGCCGTCCTCAGCAACACAGAGGTCCTGATCTGCTCCAACAACAAGAACAGTAGAGTACATGCCAAAAGCCAGCATGACAAGTTTCTCCTGGAGATTAAAGGCACACATCTTCCTCTCTGGAGCAAGGAAGTGATGCTCGATGTAAGGACCAGAGCCCCCCAAAGTGAACCATAGCCACTCTCACCAAAAGATCCCAAGTTCCTCTAATGACAGTGGTCGAACTGACACTGGGGAAACCAGTCATGATGAGCTTCTCCAGGAGAACAAGCGGCTCCAACAGTAACACTTAAGAGAAACCCACAATGCCTAGTAGCTTTTCTTCTCCATGCCTCAATTTATGCTGGCTACTTTCCTCAGGTGGACCATCTACGCTTAGCACCATGCTGATTTAATTCAGCTGGTGTTAAGTTAACCATCAGTTTTTAATCCGTAACAGTAGGTCAACCTTAAAAATTTAGAAAATACGACTTTTTATGAGAAACATGTGAAATTAAACAATTTGTGTGGAAGGTTAGTGGTAAAATATTTATGATTAAATGTAGCAGAAAACAGGCAATATATGTATGTGTATAATGATATTTCAGGTCTAAAAATTTCATGATTACATGATCTATACAAAAATACAAGTGAGAATGATCACTTAAAATTTATATCACTTTCCAGTTTCCAAGCTTATATTGGGTGTTTTGGTTACTTTTCTCTCATTGCTGAGACAAACAACTCTATGCCCAAAGTTAAGGAAGGAAGGTTTATTTAGCTCACAGTTTGAGGAGGTTTCAGCCAATACAGGGTGGCGTGGCAGAGGAACAACAGTTCACGGCAGCTGGAAGACAGCAAAAACAGCAAGAGAAAAAACAAAACAAAAAGCACAAGAAAAGACTCTTCGTGTCCCTTATATTGTGTGTAGGCCACCCATACTATACTAGTGTGACACTCACACTCTTAATCCCAGTATAGGACCATAAATCAGTCACAGACTCTAGAAGCCTGCAGCTCGGGGGACGTGCAGACACAAATTATAACATTAGGTTAAATTTTTTTTTATAAATGAAGTAATGTAAATGAAATCAATTAGTAAAAAGCACTTAAAATGGGGAAAAAGTTGTGAATCATTTTTCGAAGTAGAGTAACCATACAGAGTTTCAAGTGCTGTGAGAAAAATGGTAGTGTCAGTTTCAGACTGAAAGGCTATAGATAAATAGGTGGAAGAGCTTTTAGTTTGTACTGTAAATATTATTCCTGACTTTCTGTTCACTATACTTAGGCTAATATAAAAATAATTTTTAGTTTTGATGTCCTTGGTTATATTTCATTTTTGGAAACTAAATGATAGATCTAGTGTAAGTTTTTTAGTTTTCCCTTATCACAGTGTGAAATTTTGTTTCCTAATAGATAAGGCCTTTTATGAAAGCACATCTAAATCGAGATAAAGACAAAGAACTTTTAAAATTAACTCAGTACCTCAAAGAGATAGCAAAATTAGATGACTTTTTGGAGCTAAATCACAAATACTGGGAAAGGTAAGTGCTTGGTATTTATTTTCTCTGTACATTAATGAATGAAAAAATTGTTGATCCTAGAATATATATGCCAACTTTTATTTAAAATGGGTAAGTTCTAAAAATATTCTAATTCATTGACATACCACTGCACCTCAAAACTATTTTGCCCATTTTTCTTAGCCTCTCACCTGTTAATAAAATAACATCATAAGTTCTTTAATACTCTTCTAGTAGAGAGGACTTGAGAAATTGGTACACATTCATGATGCTACCTGAAAATTATTTGGTGACATCAGTTAGCCCATTCCCTATGAATCACATGGGAATGTAACCCATGTTCTCATACTATAAAATGATAGAACATTGAAATTTTTCTGAAGTGTTACAAATTCCAACAATTTCTGTTTATAGTGAAATTCTTTATTCTACTGAGCAAACATGTGCTCACAATTTTTCTTTTCCAAAGGTAACCATTATTTATTGCATCTTGCTTTGGTTTTTTTTCTAAATAAAGACATTTATAAATCCAGTATAGATCATGTAATCATCAAGTTTTGAGGTAGAGAAAAACCTGGTGAAATAGAAGGGATTATTATGGTATGTACTGTAAGAAATGGTTTGGAATTAGGTCTTTATAAAGTTTGAGCTCCAGTAATAGCGCAACAAAGGAGACTAACACTTTGGCTTTTCATATTCCACTTTTGGCTTTTCAGGTCACTTTGCCACATAGCTCCTTAATTATAGTCTCACTATCCTATTGGAGGATAAAGCGTCCTTTTTTTCTTTTTTGGTCCCTATCTTCAAATTGCAGCTGATGTAACTGAGTCATGGAGATACGTGCTTAGCACCCTGCCACAAAGTAAGCAAGCAAAACTCATCTGGATTTCCTGATTTTAGGAAGCCTTTCCCTAGTTCTACACTGCTAACTATAGCAGTTCATAAATGTGAGAAATAGAGATCAATGTTTAAATTCAGTGCTAGATTTCTATTAAATAATATAAACAAAATGTTTGTTTAGTAAATTAATGTCTTTGTATCTTTTTGCTTTTCTCATTAGAGTTCTTCAGTGTTTTGGGGCCATTATCTTTAGGCAAGAAAAACAGGCTCTTTAAATGGAATTTGATTTTTTTATGAGTTACGAGATTAGTTAACATTGACTCTCAGATTTGAAAGTGGGCAATATAGAAAGACAGTTGGTGAATGCAGCCCCTGGAGCCTTAATTTGGGCAAATGGTTTAACCCCTGTGTGCTGTCTAATGGGAATATATTCTTCCAGAAATTCCTCATGGAGCTATTGAGGAGTGCTTTACAGTGTAAAGCACATAGTCAGTGAACAGATGTTAGTGAATGTGAGCAGTACTTATCTTGAGAGGTTTTGTCCTTTAATTAATACCAGGAGAATTACAGTGTTGCCATGAATTTAACATGCTATAGTTCTGACACCTTTACTTCTTGCAGGTATCTCTCAAAGAAGCAAGGACAGTAGTTACAAGTTATCCGAGCAGTTGTTGAAGATACTTGAGATCCATGATCTTTTGCTTTTATGCTAGAAATCATGATAGTGCTGGACACTGAAGCAAATACCAGACTGCTTATTCTTGGTCTTCCGGTTTTTGTAAATTTAATTTTATATTTTTTGAACATCATAGCAATATGCTTTAAAAAAAAAAAATCCTTTTCCCCCTAAATGAATATACTGTTATTCTTGAAAAATATTTTCTCTGGCATTAATTACTGAGGCGTTTTCCACAAAACAAAAAACAAAAAACAAAAAACAAAAAAAAAAAAAACCCAACTAAAAAAGGAAGAAAAAGTGGGAAAAAGTGCACACTCACCAGGGTCATTTTGTGACTACAAATAAGTTATGTCTTGTGTTTTTGTCTCACATTATCAATTGCTTAAGTCTAAAGCCAAACCCATTTTGAAACTAGGGCTGAAAACAAACAAGTTTTTGAGTAGAGAAGTTGGTTTGTTATGATTAAAATTACCAATAATTTTTTATTCCTTTGGCATAGACCAAAGTACTCTGCTAGATTCATCTCTAAATTCTGAGATATCTGTCTGATCCGTGTGTGTCAGTGTTCTTCCAGTAAAACCAGAGAATATAATTGTGATACAGCTGCTGTGTCATAGTATGAGAAATAGCAAACAAAAGGCTGGAGAATAATATTAAGGAACAAGAACGGCTTCTCTGTGGTGGCTAAAAAGAAATCCTCCTCCTTAAAATGGTTATCATAAAAACAGTTAAAGGCAATAAATTTTAAAAATGGGACATGTCACCAGTTCAACCCTAAAAAGCCTGAACAAAATGGTTTTTGTTTTGTTCCAGCTGTATCCTAAGTGCTAACGCTGTGTGTCAGTGAAAATGTCTAGCCATAAGATTAAAAATAGTATATATTATTTGCAATGCTTAAGCCTGCAGATATGTAATGTGACCACTGTTTTGTGTTGACAGTATTGGTTTATACAGTTCTTATATTTGAAAGGAATTGATCCTTTAAAATAAACATGGTATATATTGTTCTTATGGGACTACTTCAGTGGTGTAAATAATAAATATCTTTTCTTAAAATATTGACTCTGTCTTATGTTACCCACATATTTTACTTATTTGTTGAATCATAGACCAAACATTGGGTTCAAGCAAGGACCTCTTAAAAACTTTTAAATGGTTTGGTGTTAAAAGAGTATTTTGCTGTGCATTCAGAATTGATTTTGGCGGCTGATTAGGTCTGTTAAATTACTTAATTCTAATAATCATGTTGTTAGGAATGTGTAGTGTTTCCTGTATGAAAGGTAGGTATAGGAATACAGGAATTTGAGTTTGTTTATTAACAGACAGCATCTCACTATGTAGTTCAGGCTGGCTTTGAACTCATTTCAAGACCAGCTAAGCTCAAACTTGTGGTCCTCTTGCCTCAGTCCCCTGAGCACTGGGATTACAGGGATCCACTATGCAGAAATAAAGCTGGTTCAGTTAAAATGTGTTTCTTGATTATAAGTCTAAGTTCACTTAGTTAAGATTATAACAAAAAGTTTTATTCATTTCATTGGCGCATTCTCCTACTGTGTGGATTGATTATTCCAAAGTAGTTGCAGAAAGAGGGCTTAATCTTTTTCAGTGAACTGAGAACTTTATTGTATAGACCAAAAATAACAGGTATTTTTCAAATCTCTCTATAAAATAAAAATTTAGCAAGTCCCAGGAAGCAGTGTTGGATTTTATAAAACCTTTCCTGCCATTAGGTGGTGCCCAAATCAAAGTTTGTTTTCCAGTATGTTTAATGAAACCACTCGGAGAACACTGTCGTTCCTGGCTTATTGAATCGCATGTATTGTGTGATTCTGTGTAATTCTTTAGAGTGTTCGTATGTCTTCTGTGTTTTGTGACTTACTGCACATGTATATATTAAATTATTAAATCTTTATTTCAGAGCTTAGTTTGTCATGAAAATCAGTTATTGAACTGGTGACATTTCCAGTAGCCATTCGGTTTGATAAAGAATAAACAGGCAATTATAGGAAGCAACTGAAATGTGAAGTAAGAAATGCTGTTTAGGGGGAAGGGGTAGAACAGTGCAGGAATAATTTTTCTCATGGACTAGCAAAGACACATATGTAAAGTAATTTAGGTTGTTGCTTGGCTTTTAAATTATAGTTAAGGGTAGCAGTAAAGTATGGATCGTGAATAAATCTGCTAAGGAGTCTTCCATCAAGTAATCAACAGAACTCTGTCAGTAGACAGTTTTGGCTCCCAGTGAAGTATTTAAATGTTTTAGCTATAGATGTCACTAAAGATTAAGTGCACAGCTACTTATATAAGAAGGATGTAATTTTTGAGATTATTTTAAGGAAGCTATGTGGATCTTGATATTTAGAACTTTTAAGAGAGCCTCTCAAAGACTTACGACAAATTGTTGCATTACAATTTGGGACAAATCAATATTAGGCATCCTGTGGGCCTTTTTGTTTTTTGGAGCCTGGACCGGCCTTGTACTTGTGATCCTCCTGCCTCAGTCTTGCATAGGAATTATAGGTATGTGTCACTAGGGTTGGATCAAATTTTAAAAGTTATAGTTTTTAAAAAAACTATGCAGAAGTAAGCAAGCACTTTTTAAAAGTTCATCAAGATGTCTCCTGATGCGCATTGTTACTAAAAGTGATTTTCTTTTGAAAAGCTTTAAAAGTTGAACCTCTTCATGTCTTTGAAGATGCTACCAATAGCATAGACACAAGCCTTACAAAAATGAGACCAGAGTACTAAGCATCAGTGATGCTCCCGTAAGTCAGTGTAACTAAAATGAACGTGCTGAATTGCATGTACAATCTGGCACTGTAAAGACCACAGTGGGCTTTCCGGGTATATACAGCTTATTAAAGTGGGGTAGCAAATTTCTAAAGCCCAGTCTCTTCCTAGTGTTCCCCATACTTTTACTACTATCATTTCCTGTTGTATAACCTGTAAGGATAAATACTATAGTTCCCAAGTAAGGCTTTAAGAAGAAAAGTGGAGGTGATTGGCAAGAAAAATGCTGGCTAGAGTCCCTCTTTACTGGCAGTAGGACCTTGGGCCAGTAGCTTCACCTCTGAACTTCCACTTTCTCTTCCTTAGAAAGGTACTTTAAAAGAAGAACCTGAGGCTGTTGCAAAGGCCAAATGAGACCTTGTGTGTGAAAGTGATTTGAAGACCGCTGACTTTGTGGACATCAGATGATACTAAAAGTAGATCAGAGACTGCCACTATCGTTGAATTGTATTATTGAAATTGTGATTTCCAGGAGGGTAGTATTAAGAGGAAATTCTTTTGGTACTAGGGATTGAATCCATAGCCTTTTACACACTAGTAAGTTACGTGCTATTGAACTACATCTCCAGGCTGGGAAAACGTTTTGATTTAAATATATACTTTACAAATCTTAACCTTAGTTTTCAGAGTGCAGAATAGAAAAGGACAGTAGAAGGAAGAAATAACCCTATGACTCATCTGTTTTGTAGGTATCCAAATACTTTTCAGAATGATACTCTGCAGATCCCATTTAGTAATGATCTAATTGGGAAAAACAGCTCTCCCTCCTCACTCCAAAGTGGGTATGATTGAAATATCAGCATTACAATACATCTTACATAGTAGAATATGGACATTTTAATCCATCTGTGGGAACCAGCTGTTCAGAGATAGTAGCTTGCAAACTTGCTGTGCTGGGTAGAAATGTAAAAATCAAAACACAATGAGGTGCCCCTACCCTCTAAAAAGTTATGAAGATATGTTAAGGTAAATGTCAGCTTTTCTTCCTGGTAAATGGCAGAAACCAGGCAACATTTTACATACAATTTTCAGTAGCTTCAGTGTCTGAGGCTCTCCAGGAGTAAACGCAAGATTGTTGAGCCTCACAGAGCTTATACATGAGTGAAAGAAACAATTTTAAATAGAAGTGCTAAAAGCAGCACACGAAATCATTGTAGTGGTGGAGTTTCAGCGACAGTGGGAAGGTGAATTATTATTAGTCTCTTTCTCTTGGTATAACCAAAGACCTGAATGTGGGGGACCAACTTACCGGCTTGTACCTGACCAAGGGGTGACAAAGATAAGACACACAGGCGGGATTAGGTTCCAGTGTGGAGGGCCAGAGGGCGCTTGTCTCCGCCGACAAGGAGCTGCCAGTGACTGGCACACCTTGGCTGTGTTCACTCATACACAGGGAGGAGCAGTCAGTAACAGGCTCCATCTGTCTCCCACCAGCTGAGTACCTGTCCAGGTAAACAGGATCTCCCCCTCCCCAGCACCGCGGTCAGCACTCTCACTCTGCCTCTCACAGAGGCAGCTAGGTGGGCTTTAATCTCCCTGCTTGGCCTCCCACACCTGAGATAGGCTGCTTATAAAAAAGAGGCTTATTTAGCTCGTAGTTTGGAAGGCTGAAATCCAAACAGTATGGTACAAGATCTGGCAAGGATCCTTTTGGCTGCATGACCTTATGGCAGATGGTAATGGTAGATCACTTGAGAGAGGGAGAGAGCATATTGCCAAACTGGAAGCCAGACCATAGAAAGACATCCCCAATGACCAAAGGCCCTTGCACTAAGCCCCACGTCTTAAAGGGCTCACTTCCCAACCTTACTACCCTGAGGTCTAAACTTCTAATACTATAATGTGAATCTTTGGGAACACACTTCAACTGTATCCAAACCATTACAATGCATTGAGCTGAGATCTGAACCATTATTCAAAATATTATGGAGAAGATCACTGTGGGCAGAGCTAAGAGAAAGTACCGCATCTTGAGACAGGACCAAACCAACAGCTTCAAGTATTAAGAGGAAGTAAATAATAACCTGGTAGGAAATGAGGTTGAAGGAGAGGTAACCATGTCGATAGGAAAGATAGAATTTTGTAGGTCACAGTAAGTTGTCGGTGAATTCTAACTGAAATGGGGTTGTTTAAGTGTGGAAATAATAATAGAACTTTCAATAACCTTACCGACATAGGATTACATATAATAAAATGTAACCATCTTAAGTGTGAAGTTCAATGAATTTTAGCATATTTGCAAGTTACATAACCATCACCATCACCTAATCTTAGAACCTGATTTGTTTTTTAAAAGATCATTCTGGCTTTTGTGTGGAGAATAGGTGTAGAGGAGCACAGGTAGGCTAAGATGGGGAGGCCACCGATATTGAGGATGAAAGGTTTTCAGTGTGATGGGAAAATTTGCACCCCATCATCCCTTTGCATCATTTACTAACTACTCACTGAGCCTCTGTGAAGGACCAGCTGTCATCACTAGGTGCCAGGTCATCAGTGGTGAATAAAACAGATGTGCTCCCTCCCCGTTAGGAGCAGGTAGCTGTGTAACTGCACCACAAATAGCCCCCCCCCCGCCTCCTCATTCAGGTAGAGATCGAATTTGAAGGATATACAACTTAGTATATCAAAGTCAGCATACAAAAAAATCTTATCTGTGCCCACAGGAAGAAAACAATCTGTGACTTAAAACAACAGTTTCCAGCTTTTGTTTCTATAAGATATTTGAAAAAAGTCAGCCTTTAAAAGAGAAAAGATTTATATTGGCTCATGGTCTCAGAGGTGCTTGGTCAGCTGGCTCAATTTTCCCTACATCTGTGGGGGGAACATCAGGCAGAGTGTGCGGTAGAGCACGATTTCTCACCAAACCAAACTGCAGCCTGAAGCAGAGAGAGAGAGAGAGAGAGAGAGAGAGAGAGAGAGAGAGAGAGAGAATGTCAGAGGTCTCATGTGCCCTCGTGGCTTATTTTTCCACTTGTCTATTCCAGCCTCCAGCCAGCTGGATGATGCCACTCATACTTAGCGATGCTCTCCATTCAGTTTTCTGTCCTATGTGCCACACACACACACACACACACACACAGGAAATTGTGTTTTCTAGGCATTTCTCAATCCAAGTTAACAAGATTAACCACCCCAGTAGCCTTCCTGCTGTGAGGTTTCAGAATGAAGTATTCTGCATGGCCATGTGAGGCAGAACAGAACTCTGCACACTCAGGCAGATGGATCAAAGTCCTGTTTCTTCCCTTGAAAATGTTGCAGCACAAGCA